AGGCAAAGTGGCACTTGAGTGGCAGCATAGAGGCCAGGGGGCAAATACGCCCTCAGATAAGATTTATTGACTTCTATGGCTTTGCTTGGACCAAAGGGACTTTTGCAATAGCAATAGAGGACTTCAGAGATCAATATATTTTATTTATTTTTTCTACCTTATATCCATAATTTTTTTTGAAAAAAAAACAAAAAACAAACAGACTGTTTGCATTGGTCACAAGAAGGCTAGCTCTTGTCATCACAAAAGAAAATATCACAAACTTGAACTTAGCAAAAACTTGAACAGAAAAACTTGAACAGAAAAACTTGAACAGAAAAACTTGAACAGAAAAACTTCTTTGAGGAGAAGGCAGAGGAAAAGGAAGACCTAATGGCAGGTGACATCTTGCGCGGCGCTTCTTAATTACTATCAGAACTGTAAGAAATAAAATAGATTTGGTGGAAATTTTATGAAAGATAATATCATTTTACATTAATTTTAAGTACTAACCCACTGACACCACCAGCTTCACCAGCTTCTTCTTCTTCATCATCATCATCTTCGGAAGCAGTGACATTTTGTGATCTCCCTTCCGACGATCTGTACATGTTGGTGGCCTTGTCACCCAGAAGCCCTCCCAAATGTTTCACCAAGTAAGTGAGAGTAGCTTTCCTCCTCTTTGTCCTATCCTCCTCTGACTCCTCTTCTAAAAAACTGGCCCACTCCTCCTCATTAAGTTCAGGTGGTCCATTTTCATTTTTCTTCTTAATGGGCCTTTCATCTAATATGTCAGGGTTCTTCTTGAGCCATGATTTGTAGTAATCTGATGAGGGTGAACCATGAATTACAATAAATGAAACAACAATTAGACTAGCTTTAAATAAAAAATGTTAAAAACTTACGTTCAAGAACAAAAAGGTAAGGGGGTTTGGTGGGGATCAACCTAAGGTTCTCATCGGGCTTTCTGGGCCTCCGCACCCTGTAATACTTAGCGTGCTCACCAAACACTGCCAGCAGCGCAGCATAGGCCCAGTCATCCTTTGATGTACTACTATCTATGCTAGACCACACATCATTATCGGCCATTACATTATGGCCAATGTTCACCTGAAGAACAGAAAATGTTGATTGAATGGTCGAAACTTACCAGAATAATAAAAGTGTAAAATTAGGCTTACAAGTTCGACATCTGGCATGTGGCCCTCTTTGGGATCCTTGTCCTTTTTGGACGTATTGATGATTTTATGTATGATTTTTGGTTTGGATGGTCCTGTAAAAAACAAAATTAGTAGTAGGCTAGCAAAAGTAACAGAACTAAACTTCCCCATGAAAATTAATAGCTTATTACCTGCTTGCATATTTTGTAAAGAATTTTTGATGGATTCCTGTAAGTTGTCGTTTTCGTGGTCAAACAGATCAACTAACTCTTCTTTCATTTTGTCGAATTGCTGCTCACAATACTTTAGGATGTCTGATTTTGCTTCTGCCAGCTTGTTGTCAAATTCGGAATGTTGCAATTGCAGCAAAGTCACTTCATTTTGAATTGCTATAAATTCTGGTGCTGAAGTCAACTGACCAGATATGTTATTAGATCCCAAAGATCCTGAGGACTTGCCAATGGAATTTTCTGAACAGAGAGATTTAGAGCCCAGAGATGTCTGAGCAGCATCTACTGCAGACCGCTTATTGCTGTCTGCTGATGAATCAACATCTGTTTCAACAGGTGTTGCAGGGCGTTTTTTTGCCACCTCTAGATTTGCAAGTGCTGGCTTCTTAACTTGTCTTGACATGTAACTATTCAAAATTGATTTAAAATTCCTGCTGCTTCCTTCTTGTTTCTTCTTTTTATCTTCCATCTTATAAAGAATACAGAATAGTGAGAAAAATATGTGACAATGAAAGGAGGGAACCAACAGATAAATTTGTTTTTCAGATTTGAAATTTACTAACCTTTTTAGACTTGGCTCTTTCGTCTTCTTCCGTGGTGGAAGATGCAGGTTTTACATGTCTCCTGTTAGGATATTGAATCCTCGTTTCAGTTAACTTGGTCTGCAGACCATCTTTACTATCTGCAATACATAAATTGTTCCAAGGAATACTTTGCAATTTATATTTTATCGATGGAAAATCGTTAGAGTCAAATACTTACCTGCTAAAGCCAAAATGAAAACCCCAGATGATTTCACTGCAGAAGGGGGTTTGTACTTGTATACTTGCTTCGGATCAAAATCTTTTACATCACTCGGATGGAAATTTTTTATGTGACAAGAAGGAACTGACAAGTACTGTTCTTTTTTGACAGCGTCCACAGGCCAAATGGCAGCATACATTTCAGACATTTCGAGAATAATTCCTTCAAAAACTTAACACAACTGGGAGATGAGTACATTTGACGACTGTTGACGAATTCCCTTCGGCTCGTTGTTGTTGCGCAGGTCAAGACCGGCGCGGGGTACGTTCTTATCTGTGGATCGTTTTTCGAGTTTGCAGGTATGTTGTGTTGGCGAACATATACACTAATAGACTAATAGACTGTAAACATCACTTATAAGTGATTTTTTAAATCAAATAGATCATTCCGTCACTATCTGGACATTAAAACATGTATCTGGTTTGTGTGGTGGTTAGTGTGCAGTGTGGGAACTTTGTATGTCACGAACGTACTCTGGCTCAGGTTGCCGGATGAAAATATTTATTATTTGCTCTAGATTTTTATTTGTATAATGTCTGATGAGGATTCTCCCCCTAAACGTAAGAAGCTACCAGAGCGGACTCGCCAACGAAAGCTGCGTAAGCGTTTACATCAGGTACGTCTCTAATATTGACATATTGAAATGTCAAGGTTAGGTTTTCTATGATTATTATGTAAACATTTCGATTTTTTAGTCCCAGAATATTGAACATATCAAGGAACCAGCAGAGTCAAGTGCCTTCGTTGATAGTGATGACAGCTCTTCATCATTTGAGGTAATCATGAAGGCATATTCATGTTGCAAGAATTAAAAGTTTTCAACTTCCACTGTCATTCTTAGAATCTTTTATTTACTTTTAGCTTGAGGATGCCCAACCCAGTCAGCAGACATCATGCTCTACTGCTGATTCTCAATTTGGCAATACATCTACAAATGTTTCAACTGATGTAAGACACTTGGAAAAAGCCTTTTGCAAATCATTATCTTTTGCGCTAATTATTTTATTTTAGCCCATCAATTAAATTGTTTCTTTTGTACATCTTGCAGAACCCTGAAGTATCCAATGCATCTTATATACAAGATGAAGAAAGTGCACTGGACTCATGGTCAGATGATAACCAGACTGCCCAGGCCCAGTCAGATTTACAAAATACTACGTCTAATGAGGAAGATCTTTCACAGCCTTCATGTCCGGAGCAGAACTATTCAGCATCAGATCCCTCTTCTCCAGATCATTCGTCTCCAGAATCCTCACCATCAGGGTCTTCACCTTCTGATAGTGAAGAGTCTGATTCAGATAATCATGAGAATAGTGAAGAGTCTGATTCAGATAATCATGACAATATATTTATTCCTGCTGAAGGAATTTTGGGAGACAATCAGGTACAGAATGAAATTCATATCAGAGAACAAGATGATCCTGTATGCCGATGCACAGATATTACAGTGGGAGAAGTTCTGTTCATGTCACTGTCACTAGGATTCCGCCATGTTTTATCATTCAATGCTATCAAAGATTACATAGCAATGCTGAATACCATTTTTAAGAAAGAAGTCATACCAGCAACATTGTACAATCTTTTGAAGTTTGCTGAGCCAGATAGATCTCAAGATCTTTATCACATTTATTGCCCTAATTGTCATACCTATTTGTTGGGAGTTCAAGAGGAGGACCTGAGTAGAGAAATATCATGCACATGTGGTTGGCAAATTGAAAAGGCAAAGAGTGCGGACTCATTTTTCATGTCCTTAGGGATGGAAAGTCAACTTAAAAAACTTTTGGAGAAGGATGGCATTGCAGAGAATCTTAACTATAGATTTACTCGGCAAAAAATTAATGAAGCCTCACTGGAAGATGTTTATGATGGAGAGCTCTACAAAAAATTGAGTGCACCAGGCCAGCCTCTCTCTAATCCCGAAAACATTTCTTTTTCTTGGAACACGGATGGTGTACCATACGGTAAAACCTCACATCAACAAATTTATCCCATATATGTGATGATAAATGAGCTTCCACCTAAGCTGCGAGTAAAAAACATGCTTATGGTTGGCATTTGGGTTGGAAAGTCCAAGCCTAAGATGGAAGTTCTGTTGCAGCCCTTTGTTAATGAGTGTAATCAACTATCATCTACTGGTTTTAATTGGCATCACAATGGAGAGGACATTCACTCCCTAGTCATACCTATGTGCTGTTGTGTTGATTCTCAAGAAAGATACAAACTGTTAAATCACAGGGGTTTTATGGGGTATTATGGATGCACTTTTTGTGAGCACCCAGGTGATCACGTACCAAAGACTGGTATTCGATTTGGAATGCTTGACGATGCACCTGCAGCTCGCACTCATGACACCATGGAACAGTGTATGTTGGATGCCGATAGAGAAAAACGTGTAATTAAGGGATGTAGAGGACTATCCCCTCTCATCAATTTGAGTTACTTTGACCTTGCTCAAGGACCTGTACCAGATTTCTTGCACTACACAGAGAATGTTGTATGTGACCATTTGGAGTATATCTTGTCGAAAATAAGTGAAGATGACGTCTTGAGAATATCTGAAAGAGCACTTCAAATCACAACTCCTTCAGCAATGACAAGAATGCCTAGAGAACTTAAATTTAGAGCAAAATTCACTGCCAATGAGTGGAGGTCATTTTTGGTGATTTATGGGCCTGCAATTATGAGGGGTATTGTTCCTAACAAATATTTGTCTCATTTTGCACTTTTATCTTACGCCATGCACATTTTACTCCAAAAGTCAATTTCTCTGCCCCAGCTACAATTTTGTGACAAACTGCTTATCTTGTATTGCATTTATTTGGACAAGTATTTTAAAATTGGAAAAATGACCTACTGTGTCCATTTATTGCTCCATGTTGTTCAAGGTGTGTTAAACCATGGTCCAGTGTGGACACACACTTGTTTCCCATTTGAAGGAAAAAACAAGGAAATCCTAGGTTGGGCTAAAAGCCCATTCAGAGTTGCTAAAGGAGTGGCAAGAAAATACTTCATGTCTAAGAATCTACCTAGTTTAGCTTCAAGGTTTGACGTTTCTGATACAGTTCTTGATTATTGTAGTGGGCTTCATGCCAAACGTCTGTGGATTTCTGTCAGAGATGGCAATTGTGTTACCCTTGGAAGGGCGACAGAGTACCAGCTGTTGAATGACGAGGGCATTGCCCTGCAGCAGTTGGACATAGGAATTAACTAAGGAGTTGTAATTGAATATCAACAAATGATGGTTGGTGCAGTGAAATTTTCAACTGACAAATATGGAAGATCAAAAAGAAAAAGTGATTGTGGACTCTATCTCAAGGATGGCTCAAAATGTATTCTGAAAAAGATTTTTAAAGTTGCTAATGCCCAGCAAAATGACAAAATTGTTATGTTAGTTCAGAAGCAAATTGTAAATCGTAATGCATTGTGGAAGAAAGGAGAATTTAGTATTAGACATATTGAACAAATTTTACAGGATGGTGATCTTATTGCTATTTATCCATCAAGTGTTGGAGGCCAGTGTGTATTTATGAAGGTTGAGGGTGTAGTGTATGCTACTTGTCTGCCCTACGGATGTGTTGGAGATTAAAGTTTTAAGCTATCAAAAGTTGTGACATGAATTTACATTTACTTCCTCCTGTTTTTAGTTTTATGAAACACTTTGGCCACTTAAGAAAGACAAAAATGTTAGTTGCCACTCTGCCACCTGGCTCTTGACTGCCACCTAAATGCCCCTTCCAAAAAGTACTTGGTTGCCACTCCGCCACTTGCCTCTTTCTTGGCACTTCACCACCTGCATGCCACTTATTGTACACCTTACCACTTTTTTGCCACTTGGTTCCTTAGAGCCACTTAACTATCACTTAAGTTGCACTTTGCCACTTACTTTTTTTCCCAGGGGGAGGCTCACAAAGCCTCTGTTGCCATATCTTTAAGGTCAGGGAGTGTACATTTGTCAAGTTGTACCTGTGTACAGCAATCTTTAGGCAGGTGCAATCATGTTGCTGCTGTTTTATTGTACATTTGGAGGCACGTGCGATTGAATGGCTTTGGAGGTAAGATTGATTGTGAAATGTGTGTTTTCCAGTTTAAAACATGTTTTTGCTTTGCAGGTTATACATAACACACAATTTATCAGTAGGAGGTGTTTGTTTCTCATTTTGAACCATATATTGATTCACAGGTCTTACACAGCACACTTAATAAGTAGGTTTTGGGTATGGTGTGGTTGCGACATCAACTTGTGGGATTTAGGTGTGGTGTTTGGTTGGGGAAAACTGGTGTTCTCTCAATTTTAGCAAATTCCAGCATCACTTCTCTTTGTTGAACTCAATCATTTTCATTTCTCATCCTGAAACATCAACTTGTGGGATTTGGGGGTGGTGTGTGGTTGTGGTAAATTGTTGTGCCCTCCATTCTGGTGGTTTTCCTAATCATTTTCATTTCTCATCCAGCAACATCAACTTGTGGGATTTTGGGGGGTGGAGTCTCGTGGTTGTGGAAAGTTGTTGTACCCTCCATTCTAATTTCTTTTCCCCCATTTTTTTATTTTTTTTTTGCCTATGGTTACTGATGGTTTTCTTTCTTAATCATTTTCATATATCATCCAGCAATGTCAACTTGTGGGATTAGGGTGTGGAGTATTGTTGTTCCCCTATCTCGAATCATTATTGAACACATTCATTTCTTACTGTATTTACTTTTCATCATGAAAATTACAGGTTCATTTGTGATGTAATGACATCAACTTGGGTATGAGGGGATGCAAACTCTAATATTGTCCTCAGCTCTTGTTATTCATGAAACATCATTTCTTCTCTTACTTCTTACTCTTCAAAGTCTAATTGAATGTCAGGATCTGTCAAGATGAAGTACTTTTCAGTTTCCATGTTGGGTAAGTTTTTGCACTTGACCATTTTGACATGATGGTTGGGTAAATTTATAACTCATTTTATTTCTCTCATCTACTCTCCTTTCATTTTTCTACTTTCCTCCCTTCTTTTTCTTTGCTGAAATCAAAACAATTGAAATAAATGTACAGAGCTATATCAAAATATACATTGTCATTACTGGAAACCATAAACCCAAACACAGTTGCTTCTTACCTCCTTGTTTGAAATTCTTTGTACCAAAATTTGCCAGGGCGCCAGCAACATACACATAGTCTGACAGAGTCGGAAGGAGAGTAAGAGGCACACAGGGCATAAATAGTCTGTTGACTTTGATTAATTTCACTGCATGCTCAACATAAATTCGGGCAGCAGCAATTGCTCTGGTTAATATTTCTTCTTCTGGGGTGAAACAGTTTCTTCCATCCAGAGATGGTGGTTTAATAAGGTCAACACCCATTCTGAGGAGATCATCATTGATGTTGAACCCACGATCACTCATCACTACATCACCAGGTTGCAGATATTCATAAAATCCACTTTCTTTCAGAGCCTGTTTCTCTGAAATATTTCCCTCAAATCCAGGGCTAACAAATATTATAGCACCACGACTTGATATGCCAACGATGAATTTGATGGTGTTGTTTGACTTGTAATCCGAGTAAGTATTACCTTGATGATGGAAATTAGAAGGGCAATCTATATGAATATCAAATCCATCAATGATCACTCGGAGATTCTTAAAGGGACGAAATGGTCCAGGCATCTGAGATTTTTGCTCCTCAGCACTGATGAACATGTACTTTTCAAGTCCTTTGAATGTAAGGTACAGATACCTCAACATGACATACACAATAGAAGCGCATTGTGATTTCTCAATGCCAAAAACATATGCCAAATCAATAACAGGGACGCCTCTTCTTAGGCGTATTAGGAACAACAACAATTTGTCCTCAGATGTTAATTTTGTTTTAGTAGAAAATTTCTTTGGGGTCTTCTGAGAGTACTTGACTTTCAAGCTCTTGATTTTTTCATGCCCACCAAGTAAATTGTACAATACTTTGAAATTGTAAGGGGACAGACCACAGAAAAACTTGAATTTCTTCGGATTCTTCACACAGGTTTTGTAGCTTGCAATGCTGGACCGATAGATGATTTTGTAACCCATCTTTGAATGATGGAGTGGTCTGGTGACAGAGCTCCTGGTCAGACAACTGCTTTTACAACTCTGAAATAGGGAACAAAACATTAATTATTAGACATACTATGCAACTACCTCTGTGAACATTAAGTCAGAAATTCTATAGTTGAAAATCTTTCAATCGCAATAAAGGTCCCATTCCTAGTATAGTAAATTATTTTCTTTTTTCAATTATTAAAATGAAGCTTTCAATATGATTGCAATTTAAATTGATACAAAATAATTAACCTTAATGAAAACCACCACTTTCCCTAACACAATGTTTAAAATTTCATTGCAGCACTGTCATGCACATCTCTGCCGTGTGTGTGGAATAAAGGCTCACTCAAAAGAGACCCAGGACAAGTAAGAGAGAAACAGTATGATTCCTTCAAAATTAACATAAAGAGGCGGGCATATTTCGACCCTCGACCAACAGCCTCCCAGAAATCAGAGCTTACACAGGAAGAGGTCAATAGATTTGTGGCAGACCTCTCCGGCAACCCTACTGAAACCCTTTTCCAGCGACACCTCAAAATTAAATATCCAGACGAAGACTATTCCCCAGAAGAACTTGAAGCTATTTCTAATTTGTGTGAACAATTTTCTGCAGGTTTGGCACAAAGGCCAGAAGGCTCGGAAGGATTATTTCTTTCACCCGAGGATGGTATTTTAATATATGAACTCCCTAAGACCAAAGGACAAAACACAAGTGATCAGTGGAGGTCACTGCGAGGCATCCATATGACAGGAACCACCGGACACACTGTGCTCCATTTCACCACTGAAAATGCAAAGATGAACTTTTTGAGGCGACATTTGTGGGGAATGCATAATTTCACCAATGCAGCAACAACATATGGCACAACTAATGAGGAAAAAGCACTGGAGGCTTATTTGGCGGAAAGAAAATTAGTGGATAGTACAGCTGAAGCTAGACAGTGTGGTCTAATCAAGAGGGAAGACTTTCCAGAGGGCTCTGCTAGTGTCGATGCCATCGTGTATTCAGACGTTTTGCCAACAAGACTAGTAGAAATTAAATGCCCATTCATTCTGAAAAATGTTCATCCAAAAGATTTCAGGAAGACATTGACGTCTAAACAACGAAGTAATTTTTGCCTGGGATGGAATCGATCACGTGGTATTTTCCTAAAGAAAAAGCACTCTTACTATGATCAAATCCAGTGGTACCTAGGCATATTGAGACTGGACGAGTGCGATTTTGTGGTCTGGAGTGAAAAGGGGGTTGAAATCCTTGAAGTGAAGTTTAATGCCAATCATTGGGAGCAGCTTAAGGAAGCCCAGAAAAAATTTCACAGGCAATACCTTGTCCCAGAATATTTCCTCAAGAGAACACCAAGGAATCTACTACCCAGGCCATGGCCATAGAAACGCTGGGTGCAATCCTCTGCATCAGAATAAAAACTTCGCACAACTAACCTTTGAACAATGTGTGGATGACAATTCTCCTTGGTAATCAGTGGTCTCTGAATCACCATAAAGTTTCCTTGGTGCAAAGGCCCCTTTCCTCTCACAGGATAAACTTTCCTGAACAAATATTTTATCAAAGTCTATTAATCAGAAATGACAAAAAATCAGACAATTTTAATTTTGATTAAAGCACTTACAATATGTGACACACTCCATTTTGATGTTGATCGAGCTGAAAGGTTCAGTGCAGAATCACGGATAGGAGTGGACTGTCCAGCCAATTTGATCGGAGTTGCCACCTCCCTATTTTTTGTAGTGGTGTGTCTGTGGTCAATGTCAAGCCGTCCAATAATGAGACTAACTGATGCTCCTATCTCTGTCCCACAAAATCTGTCCAATGACATAGCTTTAATCTGTAAATTAAGTTAAAGGTAGTAATGAATATTCTGTTGCTTCATGCTGATTTTTTTAAGTAAGTAATAAAAATTTAATACTAACTCTCCTATTAGCAATTGATACTAGGCTGTTATCTGGACATGTAACAATTGCTACGTTTTCATCTTGAACAGAGCCTAGTATTTTGTAATGTGAGAAATTTGGAAGCTCAATACTAGGACTCACTCTGAAAGATTTTTCTTTTGACCATTCTGGTACTCTGAAAAAGAGAAGTAGAATAAAGATGTTTTTTGGTGTGACTCTTAAACTTATTTCTTGTAAAGCAAAGCTTACCGACTGACATGCAAGAGCAACACCATAGGAGCTTCTGTTATTTCCTTCTGGACATTGCAAAATTTTCCTGAACACTTGGGACATCGAATTGTTTTAGTTCTGAAAGCCTCATCAATTACTTGCTGCAGGTTCTCTGACTCTGAGAGAGACAACTGAATGCATAACAGTAGCTCATTGTTCACTGATGTCATCTCACAGCTCACACATTTATCTAACAACAAAAAACAACTTGTTATTATTCATTCATCAACCAATATTATATAACTCTTCTACACGTGTACTGCATATTTACAAACTTACGTCTTGTCTCCATTCTGCCACCAAAGATTTCTAGAACGGGAGACGCTTCCAAGCTGTGACAGGTAATAAATTAGTCATAAGCACACAATAATCAGCACAAATATAATGAGATAGGTTGATCACTTACTCTTTCACAGGTGCCAATATATAATGCAACTCACTAAGAATACTTATGACAATGTCAAAGGCACTGGTATTTGGCATCAGTTTGGAGAACTCTGTGCACACAATAACACAAAAACTAAGTACAGCAACGTTACCAGTGAGGATAAAACAACAGATTAAAAGGTAACTGACCAATAATCAGATCTCGCTGAACATTGCCAAGCTGAACACTTTTCCATATTTTAAGCAAATAACAACAAACGCATGGCTGGGCAGAGCCACAGTCATGGTTCAATTCGCAGAGTAGCCGAATAAACCTCGGTGTGTGGAAAAAAACCTTAAGATGAACACATATTGAGTTTAAAAAAAATTGCAAAGAGAGAAATACACAGACAGAATCATGTGAAAAATTCTTACTTGTAGGACGCAATTAATTGGGTGGTCCAATACTGGAAAACCAGTATGAATGTGAGGGAGGTTCAACCATTCTGGATCGAGAAGTAACTGCAAAAGACAAACATGTTTGTATTACAACGTGTAAGGTCGATTCATAGATAGATTTGGTAAAAACTGTACTACAGTACTCACGTCACTAGCACTTTGCAGAGGCATAATGTGTTGCAGGTGAAACACCCAAACAATCGCCTAACAAAGTTGTCAATCTGATGTAAAGACGGATAAAAATGGTTTCAAAATTTATGAGGAGGGGAAATAACCCAAATCTATTGCTGAACATTGATTTAAGTGTGTTAAATTGTCAAAAAAACACTTCCCTTCTTCGAAACGATAGGGTTAAAAGACACCTTTCCAGAGGAAATCAAGTGAAAAACGCAGAATTACTCTGAATAAGTATCAAAAATAAATTCCCCGCACTCGATTTAGTCGGAAAAGTTTTTTTCCTCACCTGTCTACGTCAAGTATCACAGTAGATCGCATTAAACACTTTCTCCGGTTTCTTTACGACAGCCAGCTGCCCGCGCAGCTACCGCACACTCGATTTCTCATACTCGGGGCGGCGAATAGCCACCAGCGGAATACTCTATTAGGTACGTAGTTCTTGAGGATTAAATATTTGAATTTTTTTACCTTTATTAATAATTAAATTTTAGTTTAAAAATTGAATATATTTTAATATTTTTTTTCTCAGTTGCAGTGGTGTTTGACTCCAAGGGAGAACCTCTAATGCCCCGAGGAACTGTTCCAAGGTCTGACTGGCCATCATACGAAACAATCAGGTTCATTGAAGCGGTAATTCAAAATGAAAAGTTGCTCTCCAGCAATGCAACACAATACATCCGTAAGGACTGGGTTAATGTTGCTACATTTATGTACCAAAGGGAACAGTATTACCCTATGAAAAAAATTAAAGCTGCATGGAAACGACTCTCATTGGCACATGAAACATGTGAACCTGCCTGGGAGTACAAGAGGCTCATTAGTATGTTTAAAGGAGAAGATGATATGGATGAAGAGTATCTTAAGGAAATGCTTGCAAAGTACAAACCTTCACAAGTAACTAGTAAAAAGCAAAGTCTCACACAAAAAAACAAACAAATGTGTTTGTGGAGTTGCTACATTTGCAGGCTGTGCACCAGAAGGTTCGCTCTCTTTTTGTGGATAGTTATTTAATGCAGAGGTTTCCTTTTTTTATCTGAAGTGTTATTTTTATTTATTTCAGAACTTGGGCAGTTATTTAAGGAGAGCAATACTTTCCTTCTGATTTCATTCTATCACTCAAGGAAACATTTATTTGACGATGACGTCAATAGAAGTGACGCATTATACAATGAAATTAGCAAGGTGCAAAAGGAGGCTGGCTTCAATGTTTTTGGGGAAGATTGCTCTAGACGAATGGCTTACCTTGCTAAACGTTATAAAAAAATAGCCCCAGAAGCACTACTGCATTAAATGCGCTTCAATGCGCATTGAAATGCACATAAAAGGTCACTGGTGACGCATTAAATGCGCGTAAAGTGCATTAAATGCGCATTGAATGCGTCTTAAATGCTGTAATGCGCTTTTAATGCGTCACCAATGTGTGACCTTTTATGTGCATTTCAATGCGCATTAATCGCATTTAATGCGGTTGGCGCTACTGGGGAGAAGACATGCGCATCCTCACTGGGAGTGGTGCAGATGTAAATAACTGGCTGTACCGTGATTCCATGTCTCAAATTTTTGAGAGAAGTCGCATCATGCAACCTCAGATGCTCTTATCTGCCGGCTACTCTCAAGAAATGCACATCCGAGAGGATGATGAAGAGGATGATCGCAACAATAATGTTACATCTTCAAAAGGAAGGAAGCCTCGGAAGAAGAAAAGATCATACACTTCAAGAGTGTCAACTACCTCTTACAAGGACGAAAAGTTGAAACTGGCTAGTACCCTTGTGAATATATTAGCTACTAATATGATGAATAATTCCAAAGGTAGTGGTCCAAGTTCTTAGTTAGTTACTTTTTCTTATGCTTTTTATCTTTAGTAAATGCTGTGATTTATGCAAAGTATGTTTTAGTTTATATTGTGATGGTTGACAAAATCAGTAGAAAAAGCTGGTGAAATAATATTTATTTTATTTTTGTCGAGTTGAGTAAAAATATCAGTATTGTTTTTTAATTGTTAGCAAAATATTAACAAAGTTTGAATAATATTTCTGATACAATTTTAAAAAAAGTTCCGTCATAGCACGGATCGTGGAAGCAGATGATACGTATGCAATGATCAAGCCTTGCATTATATTATTTCAGTACAGGATGTGGAGGTTTCAAAGATCTAACACCCACACTTACAGAATGTTGTTGCAATCTATTCCACTATTTAAGTTGGATACTATTATACGGCCCAGCGTTGGTGCGAATAGCATGTGATACTTTATACGCCCCAACACCTATTGGTGCCCCTAAGGAGAGACACGTTATGCGCCTCATCACCTATTGGTGCGGATAGCCCCTTAGACGTTATGCACCCCAACGAGCCTGGTGCGGATAGGCCCTTGGATGTTATGCACCCCAACGAGCCCGGATCTCTCACGGCTGGGGTGTATAACACACGATGTCTTGTCCACACCAACTG